TTGGTAATGAAATGTGCCATTCTGCTGAAGCAGTTGATGTTTTCATGATCTGAAATGCAGATTTTTACACTAGCATACGTAAAATGAATAAAAAAGGACGCCAGCTAACAATTTTAACCCCAGTTAACATTGCCAAATGGGACCCACATGGGCTAAACGTGGGGGCAATTGGTTTAATGTGGGCATGGGCTACAGGTGGGCTTTCAACTGGGCTCCAGCTGGGTCCTGTGGGGCGCTCATCTCATTTCATATTTTTGCATGCACCAGGGCTGTTCGTACCTCGTACCATTCCGTCTGAATTTGTCACGTCAAGAAGAAATTACTCAATATTATCTAGGCTTAATCTGGGGCCCAGATGGGCTACCCATATGTTACATGCCCAATAAAGTTGCCTTACACATAATATTGTGTACCAATTGTTTTTACCAATTTACTTGTTTAATTTTTAATTTTTATTTTATTTAATTTTTAATTTACTTGTTTAAATGTTTAATTTACCAATACCAATTGTTTTTATTGTCCGGGTTTCAACATATCATATACAATTATTCTAAAATATGAGACTGCTGCCTGGACTGGGGTCCATATGGGCTGAACAAGGGCCAGCCAGGCTCACGTCTATGCCGGTTGCAGGTGGGCTGGTATTTTGGCTCCATTTGGGACCCAGATGGGCTACCCATACGCTACATAATTGGTGCCAGTGCATTGGACTTGCTATCTTGTGCCCTCACGTTGAATTTTTCCTCATCATTTACAAATGAATACATAACAAAGGAGAGCAGCACGGGTTGGGGCTCATATGGAATGCATGTGGGTAAGTTGGGCTCATGTCAACATGGGCTGCAGGTGGGCTAGACTTTGGGCTCCAAGTCGGACCCAGATGGACTTCCCATATGCTGACATCTTTTACACTAATGCATTAGTTTTTGTACTTTGCTCTCCATGGTTGGATATTTTCTGATCGCGTACAAACTAGTTTGCAACAACGGTGAGAGGCATAGACTCAGATCCAAACGGGCTGCAGGTGGGCAAGCTGGCCACATCCCAGCACGGGATGCAAGCGGGCTGGTGCCTGGACCCTGACTGAGACCCAGATTGGCTGCCTGTATGCCATCATCTAAACTGTGTGCGTAATAATTGTCGTGCCGTGTGCTTCCTGGTTTGGTTTTGCCATGCCGTGTACAAATAAGAGGGACAGCTGGCATGGATCTCATCCGCTCATCCGCGGCCGCCGTGTCTGCTCAAAGTGGCGGCACCAACGGCGGGTCCGTCAGTAACCGCCCGCCGCTCGCGCCGGCCGTAGATCACCTTGCAGTATTCCGACAAAAACTTCACTTTTTGGAGCTCAGACTGATAGGGAAACGTTTTTGGTGTCAAAACACACGCAATGAATAGCCATAGGATAGCGAAACATTCGTTCCGATTGCGCGTCCCGGAGAGATATCCTCAGAAACTTCGAAAGAGAGGGGGGGGGGGGAGGGTGCACCGCCCTTTCCTTTTGCAGGGAGAGGTTTAAAGCATATAACTGAATCCATGAGAGAGCACGCGATCCTATGTATGACATGAACGCGTCGAAAAGCATTTATGGGTACTTCCTACGCGGCATGGTTCAAATGAAAGAAAAAGGGATGATAAAGCATGACTTGAAGTTTTTGCCACTTGAAAGCTGTATGTCGAACTAAGAGAGTGCTAGTTGGTTATTATAGATTCAGAGCCTGTTTTGCATTGTTTTGCAATTAGAAGCCATTCTTCAGCAAAGGCTCCTCTGCAGATGGCGCTGAAGCCATTACATTTAAAAAATGACCTGCGAAGTGAAAGAGTGAAAGTATATGTCATCGGTTGTCACCTTCAAACGGTGGCACCTATTTCATTTGTTCGCATTTGTTCCTTTAATTTGCTGTATTCACGGACAATCCAGAACCGTTAGGACTACACAATGCTGTATTTTTCGTGTACTAATCGGCAGGAGGGCAGTCAGAAGCCTCTTTACAAAAACGCTTGGGGTCCTCACATCATTCATTCCTGGTATTATCTGCCACAGTCGATGCTGATCGCCCTGGCAACAAGATCGGGGGGGGGGGGGGGGGGGGACGCTACCCAAGCCAAATGGCCGCCAAACATTTGTGATAATCGTTTTTCTCACGCCTGTACTGTTTTAGACATGTTTGTGTACTCCTTACATGGCTTTTATGGACACGCATATCACGTTATCTAAGCTATGAACATTTATTGAGTACTATAGGGCCCTTTAAAGTTTTGGAAGTTGTCCAGCGCAGCTCTGAGGAACACTGTACACGCATAAGACAGTACTGACAGCCTTGTTCTTCGTCGAATAAGCAGGTGATAGGAAGAAGAGATGCATTAATACTTCGCAGTGTATTCAGTAATAATAAATAACGCAGTGAGGCTGAGATTCACGGAGTACGGACCCTGTAACAATTTTAGAAATCAGTCATACGGAGAGCAGAGGACCATCCGAGAAGGAAAATTAGTGAGCCCA